ATTTCGGAAAAGCAGCAACTTACATAGCACTTTTACTAATAACTTTTCAACTATAATAAATTTTAAGTGTGGGAGAGCCATGCTTCGGCACGAATGGGTCGGCTCGACCGGAGTGATACCACGGCCTCACAGAAAACCGGCTTGAAACAACCACAGCGTTGTGTTTCGCCGTGTGAGTGAGGTTACCGGAGGCCCAATCCTTCCCCTCCCCCAATCCCTCCTCAATCCCTAAATCTCCAAATCCCTAATCCCTAAAAGGTCGGCAACGCACTCGTAACTCCTCCGTTGCGGGTGTCCATGGGTGGCGCTGATTGCTTACCATCAGGTAACCCGTCTGCCCGTTTGCCGACCACTACCACGACATAAAAAAAACTAGTTATTTATGGTTCACTTGTCCTTGTCCTCTGAATGATACTCAAGGGTCTCATATTACAATACACGTGTCTACATCGGCAAATAAAAATGAAATGCGAAATTGAAATTCGAATAACTTTATCCGTAGATCATAGGTTACAAAAGATGTTACAAGATTCATGTCTTATTCCACGATCCAAGAAAATGTTTTGTATATTACTAGTGACCGGCCCCGGTTTCACACGATTGCAATGCTACCAAACAAGGTTATTAATAAAAATTTCTTCACTGATATTAGCCTTATTTATTAGCCTTTCCAATCTAGTACCGAAAAATATAGGACGAGACGACAAACAAAATACATAACGTCTTAAATTGTATTAATCCGAATAAATATATTGGATAGAATATTTGCCACGAAATAATATAGGCACAATAATGAAAAAAGTTATAGCAATATTCCATATATACCGCTAAACATTGTTTCATACAAATGCAATAAAAAAGATTGAAAAACACTGTTATAACCGTGAATGTCTTCTAAACTCAGCAAATGATGAAAGCGAGATAAATCCGGTTTATAAGATAAATGCGCTGACCAGTTACGTTGTCGTCCTCCGGAGAATAGCTACAACAAAATACAGAGCAACATTTTGGCAAAAGCGACACAAGATACGTTGGCATCGCAGCTTCAAATCTCCTGAAAATTATTCATGGCACAACGTCGTGCTGATGTTATTTAACTTAGATTTCGCAGTTAGACGAATTTCCTGGTTTATTTTAGTCCCTATGAGATAGGCGGTTGTAAAGACACTTGTACTTCGGCACTCCGTGAAGTACTCCTTTGCGCTTTTCACTTCTTTGAAGTTTTCTTGAGTGAAAGCGTTTTTAGTGGTCGGGGATTTCGAAAAATTAATGAAAGCAAAATTCACAAAATAATGCTGTTCGGATAATAATCGTTGTTATTTCTTTTATTATGTTTATGAAAGGCTTGCTGTTGACTTGTAGAAAAATTAATGATTGTGTAGCTTTATGTATTTCTTTAATGTGTACCTAGCTATTATCACATACCGTATAACCTTAATTTTCTTACAATTAATGCCAAATACACACCGCAATTATTACACTTGAGCACTTTTTAAATCTTTGCTTGTATAGTTTATATGTGTGATAGATAGATTTTCTTTCTCATTTTTTATTATATTTTTGTTTACCGACTGCCTTTATTAAAAAAACACTTGTAGGAACTTTACGCCATCAAGGATTCAAATCCAAATCCTCAAGTCCGGCCATCGTACTTGTGTCCAATCTCCCAATACACGTATCAGAAAAGAAATATAGGTACGTACATAAAAAGGGGATGGAAGTCGCAATCAACAACGCCAATTTATTTGTGACTATGATCAATGCATTAACATGGTTTTAAAGAAATAAAACTCTCAGGAAATTAATCACGGTAAGCATGGTGAGCAATTTTAAATGGACCATACCTAATAAGTAAAAGATAATGTTATACACCCCACACCCATCCTGCTATGGAATGGAAGCAGTAAGTTAAGTTACATTTTGCAATCCTAAGTTTTTATAATCTCTAAGTTTGTTTCTTATTGCACCTACCATACCTACTCTCTCTGCATTACCCAAAGGTTAATTCAACTTTAGGGTAAATTTTCCTAATATTCGTATAGTATCAAGTACGCCCATCTAGTACATATTATGTTACATAAAGAATAAATAAATATCTATGTATAAGATATTGAATATATCATCCAACATATAAGTAGGTATGGGAAAGCCATGCTTCGGCACGAATGGGTCGACTCGACCGAAGTGACACAACCACTCACAGCGTTGTGTTCGGCCGTGTGATTGAGGTTACCATGTGCTGAAACCTTCCCCTATCCCTTTCCAAAATCTCCAAATCCCTAATCCCCAAAAGGCATTCACTCCTCCGTCTTTGTGTGGCACGGATTGCTTACCATCTGATAATACGTATGATCGTCTGTTGACCTATCACATAAAAAACAGGCGATACTCAATCAGTGACACAATATGAGGCAGGAGACATGCAGAATGCCTTTGAAACTCATTTTTTTTTTTCGTAAAGGCATTTAACTTTAATAATTAATTTAAATATCACGACAAAAGGCTGACGTTGTGATGGGCCTTCACAAAAATTAAAGTAAAAGCATTTATTTCAATTTTACTTTTCAATCTGTCAAAAGTTTCAACCCCTATCGAATTCTCCAGTGTTTTGGAAATGGTGGGTCTTTTAACGGAGTTTAGCATTACAGATACTCAGGAAGTTTTGCAAAAGTTTTTTGTTTTTTTAATGGGACAAGCCCGTCCCTTCCTCCCAAAACCGCTGCAACTCCTGTAAACCAGGATCTACAGTAGATACAACCACGAAAACACCAGAACACTGAAGTCCGACGCGTCCCAGAGACATGAATGACTGTCTTAGATCCTGCAACGAAATAAATCAGAAGATATTATTTGAGGAGAAGAAAAAACTAAATAGTTTCCACTTCCCTCGGTAAATTTAATACAGGAGACAGAATACTTGTATATTTTTTTTAAATATAAAAGATGTAGACACGTACCTATAAAGTAGTTAGATTTTAGTAAACAGTGAAATACTAAATCAAAGTTTTCGACTTAACCAAAATATTTCTGTCAGCGTCTTGAAGTTGAGTGATGTCTGAGTGAGTAAGAAGAGTAGAGAGGAGAAGAAGAAAAAGCAGAATGACTTTTTCTGTAAAATGTAAAGAAAGCAATCATTCGTTTTACGTACTAAACACAGACATAGCTAATTTCTTTGTCAGCTTTCCAATAGAAAGGCGAGACAATAGCGCAGACACTACTATTCATACTGAGAATTTCTTGCCGATGTATATTCCTTCTTAGAGTAGAGAAATAAGGTTGAAAATGCTTTGTTATATAGTGTGAAGTAACAGCTATTGTATAGATAGTAATAAGCCGGGTATTGAAGTAGGCTGCAAGGGCTCTCCGCCGGCCAGCGCCCCTGCTCAGCCCCTCGACCTAATGAAACGTAGACTACATCGGAACAACACGATTCTCCTGCACTTTGTCGCCTAGACGAGAAAAGCGTCCATCTTCAAGATGCGCTTGTATTTTACGAGATTTAGTACGTAAACTTTCTTAAGTTTTATTATATTTCAACGCTTCTTTCATGTAGAAGTTTGTCATTTTTTGCTACTAATATGATATATTACATTTGGGTAGACAAAGCCAAGACAATCTTTATATGAAAACGATTCGTGTAAGTATCAGTAAAAATGGATGTAGGGTATTCTACAGGGTAACTTGGGAGACACCAGGAAGCCTGTTTTAAGCTGTTATTAATGTGTGAAAGCGCTGCCTCAGTATAAATGTGCCGCTTAGCTAGAGTGATACTAAAAATCGGCGTGAACGATTTGGGTATATTTCACAGATAGAATCAAGAAACGAACATCAGACAGATATCTGGCAACGAGATTCTGTAAGCCGACTTCATGTAGAGGCGGTCGCCGCTCTGGTTGAGTTTGATATCCGCAATGAGATAATGGATGGATATGAAGACAATAGGCTTATGAACTGCTGCTGATGATAGATACATTCCTTGTAATAGATAGGTTCCCTGTTTACCAATGAGTTTTACAAAATAAAACAAATTATATATTTTCTTCGTTGTTTTAATGCATGACAGAATGACAGATCTTACTACATGATCATGAACGCTATGACAGCTACCAATGGGTCGTAAGTAACAAGTAAACTAGCAAGGTAAACACATTTTAGAAAAACCTTAATTATAAAATAAAACGTCAACTATAGCGTTACGAGAATAAGGGCTTACATTTACGAACTACTATTGGCAGAACAGAACACATTATTGTTTACTTCGATATAAAATAATAGATTAAAAATAAAGATAAAACCACCAAAAACACTCTGGTCTATTTTGCGCAAGCGGTTGCGCAAGCGGTTGCGCAAAATAGGGCTAAGAGAAGAGGCTACAACAGTCACAATATCTGCGCAAATTTCACAAAAGAAATATTTATATGAATTAAAGTTTAATGACACTCCTGATTTTCCAAAATATCCAAACAAGAAACATAATTATATATATATCCGCCGTAACAGTAAAGTACTTCATATAAAACGAAGTACACCAATTACATTTATCGTTTCCAACTTTTTTAAGTATTATGCACTGCAACAATAGTTCGTATATCCAGCCCACACGAATGCATAACAATTGCCTTAAATACAACAGAATACAGTTTACCTAATTATTTATGATTTTATTTTATTATGACTCATAATCTAGTTTTGCATAGACGGTGTAGAAATACTATGTCACTGATCAATAACACATAATATACGTATAATTTGAAAATAAAACTCAGTCTTATAGTGCAAGACTAGGACATAACATTAAAATCGAACGTAACGTCTTGCAAAATCAATAACATAAATAATAACTGGAAATCATTTTAAAATATATTAAATTAAAATATTTAATAAATAACAAAAATGGTAAAAGTCACTCATTTGGGATACGATTGGGGATTTAAAACATCGAGACGATCGTGCATGGTACTTTTCATAAGAAATTGACCATACTAAATTCTTCTATTAATCAGATATCAAACTGTCTCGAGTGGGAAGCTTATTCTTAAAAATTAACAGCACAGTAGACAATATTACTTCTATACAGTCTATTTGACGCGTCGGCTTTATGCGCCCGCGCAATGGAAGTTAAATATCATAGTATGAAGGAATGTCACCAGTAGAAATTCTAAGAGATTACAAGATTAGTATCTTAGATTTAATTTAACATACGGAAACTGTTAGCACAAAGATTCCCGACGGTGCTTAAATAAGTTAAAAATCATGGTAACTACCTCATAATATATACGTCGTCGTTTCGTACAACTTAGATCAGAAAATTGCATTACAAGTGTATCACTTTACGGAGTTGCTTTCGTTTGATTTAAAAAATAAATAACCAATATTAATTTGAACGTCGTTCTAACAAAATTCCCCCGTAAAGTGGACAACTTCTCTCCCATCTTACAACCTAATATTCGATACTCGATAGTAATCATTAATCAAACAAAAAATACAATATATTTAGTAAATACATTCGTTCCCCGAGTTACAGTAAAGTGTTCGTTTAGTAATTTAGTGAAATACAAATTAGTGTTTTAGTTAATACTTATCATAAAAATCGATTAAGCATATTTTTAAGTTATTTTTCAAGAATGTAAAAGTAATCACGAATAGGGAATGTTTATGAGATTATACAAAGTAAATATATTGAGATTACAAATATCCACGTGCATAATAATGCAGTACATAAATGAGTACTTGAATAAAATTGGAGGCTCCTCCAATAACAACGCAGGCTGTACGATTCGATATCAAAATAAATAATATTTATCACCTCGTATATTGCCCTCCTTACAACTTACACGTGACTACACAATATACATCATATTTTATTGGAATCTTAATTTAACCTTACTTCAGATAAACGCTACAAATATTAAAGCAAATGTAATCGTCTACATTCTGGGAATGTACCGTTTATAAAACAGTATACCTATTTATTTACAACGGAAATTATAAAAATACATTATGATCAATTCAAACGATAATTACATTTCTCTACGCTACATTAAGCTACAACATCAAACAAAACAAACATTTAAAATTGATATCTTTGGAAGAACAATGACAGCCACATACAAGCGAAGCAGCAACACTCGCGCCCTCTCGCGGGGACCGCGCGCAGACATAGACTACTACGGCCAATGTCCGTCTTGTATTGTCCGATACGTTACGTCTTCAACTCTTTGGCAATGTCAATATACAGTTACGGTATCTGTACAAATCATTCTGACGAAATGTGGTTACGTTTGTAAGGACTAACAAGTCCTTCAGATGACTGGCTTCAATGGTGAGACAAATGGTGCTTTCAATATGTAATCATCACTGACTTCCATAGTAAAATAGTTCTATGAACTACATCAGTCACTAAATAAGTTTACAAAATATTACTATTGATACGGGTCAGATATGAAGGGATCATGATAAATTGTTAACATCACAGATACGTCAGTTACAAGAGATTCGATGAGAAAGATGTTATGTGGGAACTACTACTCTTATACATGTTAACATAATACTAGGAAGGGGTGACGTAATAGTTACAATTACAAGAGATATTCCAAAGACTACTACAGCTGACTCACATTACACATCGTGGAGTATTATGTGCATTCTCACATTAAATTCATTTTCATATCATATGTAACGATTTACGTGTGAAAAATCACATAAAAATTCGAAGTAAAATTCTTCGCTGCCACTGTAAAAGGTAACATTCGGTTCGAAATATTTAGCATCCGACACGTTCACGGGTCTAGTACGATACAGTCGCCATCTATATACAGATGCGACGACAGTCCTAAGGGAGGGTGGAGGAAACATTAGGCCGCGTAATGCAGGGACCCGGGCAGGGTGGGGCTGGCGGCCGCGGGCGCGGGCTATAGTGGCGGCGACGCGGGCTCCGCCCCGCCCGCGCCTGCGCCCCCGCCCAGCGAGTGCACGCGCGCAGACAGCAAGTTATGCAGGATGAACACCGCTGGCTTCGGACTGCCTTCCATGTCCAGCTCCTGGGCAAACATCGTGCATGAATACTTTACTGTTTAACGGGATTTACCGCGCACGTAACTTTTATTATTTTGTTTTTGCTTGACGTTTTGGCAGGGTTCCACGTGGAATCCAGTGATTGCAAAAATTCAGAATCGCGATTTTAAGTCGACTTAAAAATTAGACGTGAGTGTAGTGTGTACGCGGCTTTTTAAAGAACACTTATTAACATCGAGAATAGACAAAAATAAATCACAAAAAAGGTATGTGCGCGTTAAATCCCGTAAAACATTAAAGTATTAATATGCAACGCGAAAGTTTAAAGTATAATATCGTGCATGCAACCAAATGTCTCCTATACAAACATGTTGAACCAAAATAAGATTCTTAGTCGAGTAGCTATTGATTACCACTCCCGAATTGATAAGTAATTATTACTCATCATCATCATCAGCCTATAAGTATCTACTGCTGAGCAAAGGCCTAGCTCTAAGGCTCTAATCTTTTCACACGGAGAAGGTTAGAGCATTAATTACCACGCTTGCTCAATGCGGGTTGGCGATTACAAACTTCTAATTAGAAATTATAAGCCCAGGTTTCACGATGTTTACCTTATCGTATGTCAGTGGTGTCAAAATAATCATAGAAAGTACATATAACTCGGAAAAAGTCACATTGGTACTTGCCAGGTTTCGAACCCACACTCATGAGAAGCGGGCGTCTTATCCTCCGGGCTACCACCGACATTATTACTCAATAGTGTATCTTCTATGTATGTGATGTAGAGTACTCACGACAGTGTCGTCGTCAGCGAAGTGTAGCCAGAGCGCGGAGCGGTCGTCGTCGGCGGAGGCGCGCAGCGCGTGCAGCGGGCGGCGGTAGAGCGCGCGCGGCCCGGCGCGGCCCAGCGACCCCGCGCCCTCCCACACGCACACGCCGCCCGCGCCCAGCGACAGCCGGGCGCACGCGCCGCGGAAACGACAACCTGCAGTTGCGAATTATGTACATATCAATGCTATTCCAACTTGTCATCTAGGTATACTAATATTTTTTTTTTTTTTTTTTTACTTGCAATAAACCAGTGCTTGACTGCGATCCCACCTGATGTTAAGCAGTGATGCAATCGTTGATGGTAAGGCGCACTAGTTTATTAAGAGCCTATTCACTCTAGTATTATAAAGAGGTAAAATTTATAAGTTTTTATGTAGAGGGTAATCTTTTGAACCGCTGGACGGATTGACAAAATTCTTCCACCGATAGATAGCTACAATGTTCCTGGGTGCTATAGGCTGTAAAACATCACGCTACGATTAAATGGAGCCGAGCAGCTGGTGAAACCGCGTGAAAGAAGCTAGTTCTATATAAAAGCTTTTGTCTGCAACTTTAGACGGTTGTTAGTCGTTTTTTTTAATTGTTGCCACTTTTTAGGAATTCGTCCTGTGTCGTAAGTGCGTATTTTTTTTGTATTAAACAAATTTACATAAAAAAATATCTAACAGGAAAATATATTTGTTTTATAATGTTAAGAGCCTTGCTTCGACCAATGGGTCGACTCGATGGGGTGATACCACGGCCTCACAAACAACTGAGGGGCCCAAACTTTCCCCTCCCCAAATCTCTCCCCAATCCTTTAATCTCCAAATCTCTAGTCCCCAAAAGTTCGGCAAAGCACTTGTAACTCCTCTGCTACGAGTGTTCATGAGCAGCACTGATTGCTACCCTCAGGTAATCCTTCGACCCGTTTGCCGACCTATATGCTTAAATAAAATGTAATATTTAAATACATTCCACCTACATTGACCCGATCTTATTGTTGATAGCTATCTGCTATATAAGAATAAGTCGGGTTTTCCTTCCTGACACTAAAACTCTAGAACGCACGAACCGATTTCCACGGTTTTGTATTCGTTGGAAAGGTTTCGGCCGTTGTGAGATTTATAGCAAAGAAAAATCAGAAAACAAATCCAATAGAAAAGCAGAGACTTGAATAGTGTAAAATGGACAACCACGCGGGCGGAGCTGCGGGCGACCGTTAGGTTGCAGTTCCATTGAGGCGGAGCGGAGCAGAGCGGAGAAGAGCTGTGCCGCGATTCACCAATCACATCTCTTCTCCGATGCCCTTAGTAGTAATAGTATAAAGACGTGTCTCACGGAAAGTGAACTCGGGCATGGCTCGCACGGCGTGGTGCGCGCCGTCGACGAGCGCGCCTGCGACGGCGGCGAGGTCGTGCGGTGTGTCGGCGCGGAGCGCGCGGACGGCGAGCCCGGCCGGCGTGCCGGCGCGCAGCCCCAGCGCCGCCGCGCCGCCCGCCGCGCGCCGCCACCACGCCAGCCGCGTCGCCGCCAGACCGAAGCACTCCGCGGGGGCGCACCACGCCTCGCCCGACCACGGCGCCGCCTCGTACAGCCTGCGATACATACACCTTACACTCGTGCAATACACAACACTAAGACGTTACCGGCCTCACTACGGTTTTGCTTTTCTTCTTTCAATCAATCTCCTCATGCCTTAAATGGTTGATATTTCACATCTGTGTGCTTTTCATGACCAACAAAACACTCCAAATCGAAACGAACTTAATTAAAAAAAAAATCAGTCTCTATAGTCATAGCTAATAAATAGACTCATAAGCATTTCCATCAAAATTTTCCGTAAAAAATAAAAAAGAGAAAAAATCGCTATTATAAATATGAATGTAAAGTATACAAGTATAATACATTATACACAAGTTTATAAGTGTAATGTATACTTAAAATTTGAATGTGTTCAAATTTCGCATCATCCCAATTTATTTTACCTTATGTACCAACTACCAATTAAAAACTGATCAGACCTAACAAAACTACTCTAATTTTATGTAAAACAGTAGTTTGATAAACACCAAACTTGTATGATGTAATGATGATGATGTCATCAACAAACACTAATCTAGACCATAAGCTACCATGGAGATAACAAATTAAGATAAAGATTTTTGTAAACAAGACATACCTAATTTCGCGATCGGTAATTGCAACGAAAGTGGGTTGCCAGCCATCAGCCTCATCGGAGCTATCTGATCCGCCAGATGCACTCATCTGAAAGGATTGGAGGAAAATTTATTTCCATGAGTACACCATAAAAGTGTGGGAGCGCCATGCTTCGGCACGAATGGGTCGGCTCGACCGGAGTGATACCACGGCCTCACTAAAAACCGGCGTGAAATAACCAGAGCGTTGTGTTCTGCCTAGTAAGTGAGGTTACCAGAGGCCCAATCCTGCCCCACCCCCAATCCCAAAATCTCCAAATTCCCAATCCCCAAAACGGATCAGCGGGCGGCGCTGATAGCTTTCCATCAGGAAATCCGTTTGCTCGTTTGCCGACCTATTACATATAATAAAATCACCAATTAACAGCATTCATGAATTTCAAAATGGTATCTTACATGATCCTGTGGAGGTCGCCTAGCCAGCCAGCCAGCATACCGCACGTCTCCCAGTAGAGGTCGCAAGCGGGGCCGAGCTCGCGCGAGCGCCGCCCGCGCTGCCCGGCGCACCGCCGCGTGCAAGGCGCGGTGCCAGCCCGTCGCGCCCTGAGCGCTGCTTGCTCGCAGCGCTAGGGCGTGCACACCGTCCGGAGAGTATATCTCGATCGTCCTCTCCTCTATTAACGAAAATAGAAGCTTTATTAATATGAGACAACCAAAGACCCGAATTTTATTTTGTTTTTTTTTTCATTTTGAATTTCATAGCAGCTAGGACTATAGGTAACAAGTGCATAGCTGTATGTTCACTATTACAAAAGAGTTAACAAGTAAATCAAACTTAATGACTATTCAATATGAATGTGCTTCTTCTCCTCAAATCAAATCATAGCTTTAGATCTCCATTAGGCTATTCCTGCTGAGTACCTATATAGTAATTAAATAACATTATCATCCACACTGTTCTTAGTGACCAGTGGGTATCGCCAATCAGTGCAGAAAATCCAATGTAAACCTCATCATCACAAAATTATTACCTGGGTCACGATGACGTAAATTTTTGGCGATGCATGCCATCAACAAGGGTACATAGCGAGTGTCGGCGCGCCGTCGACGCGGTGATGGAGGTGAAGGTGGTACATCTGCCATGAAACCACGCTGCAACTCCCATCCTACTTCACTAATGATTGATGCCTTCCTGAAGTATGGTGTCACCTCACGGAGGTATTTCACTGAAAATAATATTTTCAAAATAGGCTTAAACATACTTGCAAATCTTCAAATAAAATCTATAAAGTTAGTCTTCTCCATCATGTGTATAAACAACAAAATAATATTATGTATCTTTATAGAGCTTCTAACTTTTCCTAAAAAAATTCTAAGATACCTATAATAAAAAAGTTTTTACTAAACTTTCTAAAAATCTGTTTTTTTATTTATTCATAGTTAATAACCATTAACTTTTTAAATTACACAGCATTGTTTTTTATAGTTAGGTAAACTAAAATTAATTGAAATACATGGTAAAAATTATATTTAATCAAACTAAAATAAGTTCTCAGCAGTTGTTAGAAAATCCAGCCTACAATGTAGTGCATATTTAGCTAGGTGCCACTTAGTGCAGCCCTGAATAGTTCAATTAGTGGGTCCGCTTCACTGAATGGGTGTAATTAAGGTCAATATAGTTAGCCTATGCCTTATGACTAGCTATGTGTTAACACCACTGCATTTCATTCATTCTAGTCACTTATAACGTCTTATGTACACACTCACCTTCCAACTGCACCATTTTTCCAGCTCTTTTCAATGCTTTTACTGCTTCCTCATGTGTTGCATCCTTCAGGTCCTCACCATTCACAGATAGTATAGCATCACCAACATATAACTGTTCAGTAAGATCGGCTGCCATACCTTTGAATATCTTTGATATTAGTATAGGCATATTATTTTCTATGCCACCTTTTATTGATATTCCCAACCCATTATTGTCTGACTTCACAACTTGTACTAAACGTTTCTGATTCGCAATAGCTTCTGGGACTTCCGTGAAGTCACTGTTTGGAGTCTCCACATTGTTGTTATTCAAGGTGCCGTTCAACGTGGTCGTCGCATCGTACCCATCGTCTAGACACACGCTCAAATAATCCTCTTCTAGAGTACAATGAACACGATACCAGACGCCACGCACTAGCGTCTCCAGTAAGCCTGAACGTGAACATGTTGCACTGGGGCTATCACTACCCCCGCTGGAGGCTCCGTTCTCCACCATCGTTTCTCTTGTTTTCACAACAAACAAGAAAAAACTTACAGCTCACGGTTCGAATAAATTCATTCACGATATTTCTAAAGCAACAGATATATCTCACTTCATTTTACATTTAAACATTGACTACTTACTGCTACATAAAAAACAAACGCACTTTATTAAATTATCATGATAATATACGAATTTATTGCACAATCGATAGGTACCTATACAATTTTGACAGCCCGTACGCCCCTGTCGCGTATGCCACAGATAGCAGTATGTCCCAAAATGAAATATACCATAGACAAAATAAAACATTATTTATCTTAAACAACCTACTCAAAAACCGATTCTCATAACAGCTTAAAATTATACTAATAATATTTATTGATGGTTTAACTGTTCAGTATTAGCACACAGAAATCAAAAACAAAAAGATAAATATTTGTGGAATCTGTCTTCAAAATTGTAAAGAAAGTACCCAAGGTTGCCCAAGGAGGGTGGATGGGAGAGTACTAGGCGCAGCAAAGGGTGTGGAGTTATTTTGTTATGTCATCAGTCGGCAAACGAACGGGCATACGGGTAGCTTGATGGTAGGCAATCAGCGTCGCCCATAGCCTCTGCTAGTAGGTACACAAAGAAGTTACTACAAGTGCGTTGCCGGCCTCTTGTGAGTTATTACAGATTTAAGGATAGCGGGGATATTTCAGGATTGAGGAAGGAGGGAGGGGGAAAGATTTGGTCCTCAGCGAAACACAATATAAGTGTTGTTTTGCGCCGAAACTTGGCTCTGCCACACTCAAAAGCAATGTAGCATTTGGTGTCAAATTTAAATTAGCCTAGTCACAAGATTTACCCCTTAGATTACTTACATGGCATTTATTTTGATATTTTACCCTCTGCTATGCTACCCTTTTTTTTTGTCAGGGGAAAATCATCAAATGACTTGCCCAGGGTTAGGCGAAAGTCGAGAGAGAAAGTCAAACTCTAACTGACAAAAAATCCCCCCGTTCCTTCTCCTGCTCCGGGCCCAGAGGCGCGGTGCTACTATGTAGGTACCCTAATTTAACACATTTCAGCGGACACTTTTTACATATACACAGAGAGTTCTACTTTCATCTACCCTCCATAAAAGGCAGGTAGAAATTTTATAAAAACACCAAAAATGTTGTTTATCTCCATGACATTTTTTGTGCAGTAATATCTTCTCTCAACGAGGGTATACTAATGCAATCCCGTCCCCAAACCCGTTCTTTCTGCTCCAGGTCGAAAATGCCGTACCTTATTGCGTTTGACCCGCAACTCCGGCTAAGCGTTGACCATATTGGGCCCTATCTGTGAGTATCTGTGAGGGTCTCAAGGGTTTGAAAGTTTCCGTGTCTGGCAAGCACCCCCGTCAGGCGGAAGGTGAGGACTTCATGGCGTCAGCTAGGTACTCCTCAAAGAGGAGTCTTAACGACGCTATAAGAGCGTGCCCGGCTCTCAGTTGCCTCGGACGTTGCTTCCACTATGCTCATTTTGCACACACCCTTATTTGGCACGGCAGTGACAACTAAAGACGCGCGAAAGCGCCCTCGCCTCCAAATCCCATGGCGGTGATCCGGCAAGGAGATACGCTGCCTTCACGGAGATCATGCGATAGCCACGGATGATTCTTATAGTCATAACCCTCTGGGACGCGACCAGCGCAAGAGCTAGACGCCGGCGCGCCTCAGATCCGACGCCTACACGGGGCCCCCGTAGAAGGCCAAGGATCGCACAAACCCCATATGCAATCTCCAGCAGGAGGCATTGTCCCCCCATTTATTTTTGACGTAAGTGAAGCTGGAATAGTTGATCACTGGTAAAGTGGAAGAAAAGAGACCTAGAGGCAGAAGTCCGATACGTTGAACGTATCAGATTTGCACCACTCTCAACACTACAATCCACGATGCTCTCTACTCGGCGGTAGATAGAAATACGCAGTACACTGCATCCACGAGATGGTGACGACCCTCAGCACTGAAGAAACCGACACGATGAGGAGGGGAGTGTACGTGGGAGTGTAGCACTTCACGTGCTGGTTCGCTGCATACACTTTCTAAAAATCGTAAATTGGAAGGCAATGTTTTTTACATAAATAAAGAGTGCATCTTGGTAACGGATACTGATCGGGCCGGAGCTGTGTTGCAGGCAAAGAGCAGCACGTAAATTGAATATACTGAAAAGCAGTGCGTGACGTACCGCAGCGCAGATCGGTGCTTTGATGACGGAACGCGGTAGTTCTAGTACGTCTTATTCTTATTACACTCCTTTTCGTTCCACCCAAGACATATGAAGCAAATAAAACTATGTTATAAAAACAAAAACTGAATAATGATGGAATAATACTTCCATCGAATCTTATATTTGTTAAAAAATAATAAATTAAGTATAGAAAACTTTTAAAAATTATTTATTATAGAAATACAATTTACATCTAAGTAAGAAACTAAGTGTATCACATACAAAAAAAAAAGTCTTTGGCTAGTACAGGAAGTACTAAATATAAACATTTATAAAAAAAAAACGTTATAAAAATGGATAACCGGTAAAATTTCAAAAAGGAAATTAGATAGGTTTAGGTGAACAATAACTTATTATTAATTTATATTTAAATTACAATTATGTACTAACAGGCAAGCGACACGTGCTACCAACATGCATCACAAAGGTGAAAGAATGCTGCCATCTTGGTAAATCAATATTATTGAATGAACATCATCATTATCAAGAAGATGAGTTGGTAACACTGCTTAAAAGAACTGCATAAAATGAGATCGTATTCTAGAGTTGCCATTATTAACGCGGGATTTTGTCGTGTAATTTAAATTCAATACAAATTCCATTTCACATCTGTAAAGCATACATTTTCTAAAATAAGTACAATATTGACAATTGTGTAGTTGATATTTTCAGTCAGTCTTATAAGCTAATACAACATTATAATTTTGAAATACTTATTTACTTGGAACACACACTGCTTCAGACACCACTTACACATTTTATTATAATAAAGTATTTTAACTATTTTACTAGCAAAATGCATGTTATAAAAGAAAGGACAATTCGATAGAGTATGTTATTTCGTTTTCTCTATGGCAAACAGTGCAAAAACAATAAGTTCTTTTTATTTTTATTGTTTTGTATCCCTTCCACCACAAATGATGAATTTTTAAAAATCATAAGTATTACTTTAAAAGTAAATTATAGACTATTATAAATTATAAATATGTAATCGAGATCTAACTAGATAAATAGTGTGCTTGAATACTATACATTTAAAATGCCTAAATGTGTAGAATTTTAAAAAAAAGGTACATGTAAAGTAATAGCTATGATCCCTAACAAATACAAAATGATTAGTAAGGGTGATAAATATATGAATAAAAATAAATTAATGTATAATATTATAAGAAACAGTATTTTTAGCTGTTGTACTTACAATTTTACTAGATTCATAAATGTTTGGGAATTTATTAAAATTCAATACAGGTGTAAAACATTTGAAAATAGAATTCTAACTAATTAATTTATTACACAACATAACTATTCTTTAGGACGTCAATATTGTGTATTATGACAAGGTATTTTTAACATAATATATCCCAAATTATACTAAGTATGCAGTAGCTTTAAAATGCATAATACAGTAACCTAAAATAAATAATAATCAATAACAAAATGAACTTATAGCTATCTTCATTACGGTCTTATTTGGACTTAACACTAACTAAATAGATAAGTAAAGCCAATTGAAATATTATATGTACTTATTTTCATTGTACCTCTATATCCAATAACTCATTAGGTACTCATTTACATATTATAGTACACAACCATTATTAAACCTACCCCTTATAAGTATGTAAAAATGAAGGAACTAATGGGAAACACTAAACTTGGGAACATTAAATACATACTTCAAGCACAGTTATCCTTACAAACTAAACAAACTTGGCAGTATTATGTCAGTAAAACGAAAGAAGTAGACTTGAAAGTTAAATAATAATAAAAAAACAAAATCTTAACTTCGGAAGTGTCAAAAATCATCGAAAATTGATTATTTGAACGTCTGTAATTCGACGGAAGTGGTTTACACAATCACATAACATTATGAAGACTAAAATGTTACAAAAACTACCTCTTTTTTTTTTTAACTTAAACTAACTTCTCATTTAAGTGTAAAAATGCACAAAGCATTAAATTAATTCATGTCGAACATTGGCTATCTATTCTATCAAGGAGTAGAACATAAATGAAGTGTTAATACGCAGAAGCAAGTCAACTTGTATAATGAGCATACAACCATTGCGACAGGGCGAAAATTTTCGTTGCGTACCATACCATTCCATTTATAACACTCCAAGATTTGTACCATCTCTTAAATTTCGTTACCAAATTGTGAGTTGGGTAATATCCTGACCACTGTATCTTTCGTACCTACTTTCTCTGTATCGATGAGCGATCCTGAGCTGTGTTTCTTTGTCTTGGGTGCCAGAGGTGGCACCTCACTGCAAGTGGAACAATTATCATCTGTAACTTTAGAGCTAGAACCTGCAGCACTGAACTTCTTTAGACTGCCCGTGGCAAGGGAGCCGTTGGACGAGGAGCAGTGAGGCGGCAATAAAGGTACTCTCTCTTGCAAGTCTCGGCTGGAACCCGATGGCCGGTGGCTAAAACCACTGCTTCCTGCCTCGGAAGCTGCGATTTCTGGACATCCACCCATATTAATCCATTCTTGAATCCTGAAATAGTGGTTATGCAAATTAAGAAATCAGTAGAAATTATGTACCGCGTTGGTAGAAAATAAAAACTACTTTTGGACAGTGTAAGTGTGGGCTCTTCTGATTAACAAGACCTTCAATGTGCTAATGATTGCAAGATTGGCGCGGTGGCTGGGCCACTGGCTGTTCGATTCCCACACGAAACAACTCTTTGAGTGATCCACGAATTATTGTTCCGGGTCTGGGTGTGGTCTGTTTGTGAAATTGTATGTTTGTAAACGCACCCACGACGCAGGAGAAAATACAAGTGTAGGCCAACGTTAAAAAAAATTGAATGTAAATAGTATTTGTTAATTACCTATTAACAATTTCCTCGAAGTTTGGTCTCCGCTGCGGAGTATGCTTCCAACAGTCCCTCATTAGGGCGTACATTGGTGCCGGGCAGTTCGCTGGAGCAGCGAGCAGCTCGCCTCCACGCACCATCGAAATGACTTCTTGATTGCTATATCTGTAAAAGAAAGAAATCGTAATA